TATGATGATATTTATGTGTTTGAGCTTCCGGATCATCTATTTGTGGTTTATAATGCATTCCTTATATGAATTGATCAAGTTTTATAAAAGGATTTCTTCTATTGATCAAACACTTTTTAGATATATACTTTATTTTGTATTTGCATATGAGAGGTTATATGTTTGAGCAACCCCCGGGAGGTTTACCGGATGCTAAAAGCTTTATTTGGGTTGAAACTTGTTTCAAGAGCTTGTTATGCTCACCTCTCTTGCTTTTGTCGAAAATGATACAATATATACACTTTGAATTTCTTTTAGTATCCTTTGAGACTTTTATTTGAACCTTCATGAGGTTCATGATTTTATTTTTTTTCATGATCTACTTTTGTTTATATCCAAATAATGTTTTATGATTGGGTATTGTGACACCTTTTATATGTCTATTTGTGCTCTCAATCAATCATGTTTTATGATGGAAAATTTGTAATTTTTTTAAATCATTTGATGTTTGATTTTCTTTAAACTTTTTTAAAATCTTTTAGGTTTTAGCCTCATGTGACACCTTATCTTCATGATACATGCATATGTGTTCACTTAGTCTATCTTTGTATGTGAGTTGTGTTTAGCATCACCTTATCTTCATGATACATGCATATGTGTTCACTTAGTCTATCTTTGTATGTGAGTTGTGTTTAGCATATTTTACATTTATGCTTGCTCACTCACTTAGTCTATCTTTGTATGTGAGTTGTGTTTAGCATATTTTACATTTATGCTTGCTCACATGTTTGCCATAATTTTTATTATATATTTTCCATATGGCATTTTGATAGGGGGAGCAATCCCTATATCTTTTTATGTTTTATACTCACCCGTGCCTATTGATAGTGGGAGCTTTCGCTCTCTTATTCTTTTGTTTTTTCATTTTGATGTTGTCAAAGGGGGAGAAACAAGTGGATTGTGAGTATATTTTAAGAGTATTGTGCTTTATTGTATATCTTCAGGCCCGGCTTTGGGGCTGTGCAAAATGGACGACCGCACAGGGCCCCTAAAAATTAGGGGCCCCAAAATATCCCTTCACCTATAATATCTACCGTTCATTCTACTTCTCAATTGAATCTTGGCCGTTCATTCATATTCAAAAACCCTAAAATCCCTTCAAGGCTTCAAGTCCTCAATCCCAAAAGCTCAGCAGTCAGCCCCCAAAATCCACCGTCCCCCTCTCCTCCGTCTGGACCGTGACGACCGTCTCCTCCTCTCTTCCGCCACAGACCCCCGCGAATCCGCGACGGGCGCCGGTCGCTCGCTGCCCATGATCGCCAGTTCGCCACCAAACGAAACCTCGCTACCCACGAATCACGATCGCTCGCTGCCCACGAGGCCACGATCGCCAGACCTTGCTGCTCATCACCCGTCGAACCTCGCTCGTTGCTGCCCGCTGCTGCCCACGATCGCCGCCGCCGAACCCTCGACGATCATCAGGGAGGTAACTCTCTAGATTGGAGGTGGTATGTACAATTTTCTAACTTTATAACTTAAAGCAATTTTTTGTTTTTTTTTTTCTTTCAAAATTTGCATCAATATTGTAATTTTTAGTTTGCAAAAAAAAATCCCTAATTTCGGTAGACTATAGTGCAGGATCAATCATTAGTTTTCTTAGTTGGAGGTGGTTTTTCCCTAGTTTGATTGTTGTTATGTAAAGATTGGAAAGATTTGATCTTGGTGGACTTTACAGAAAAATTGTTGCGAAAGATTCATTGAAAAAAATGTTTTCTTTCTTGTGTTTATAAGCCATATTTGTTCAGGTCAAGAAATTGTCTTAATGAGCTCACTTGCAAAATAGATTGGTTTGTAATCTTGTTCTGCCTGGAGTCTTGCTACTCTCCTCATGCTCCATCCCTTGTGTTGTTTATCCAAATGGAAAATGTTTGAAAATTTTGTTAATTACAAATGTTGATGGAATACTTGTTACAGATCTTGTCACCAATTGTTACAAATAGATTTTTGTTATCGACTGCCAGAAGTAACTCTTGTTTCGCCCATTCTTTTTGTTATTGCAGGATTTGTTAAACTGGTTTCTAATAAACTTTTTGGCTCTTAAACTTCAGGGATCAAGGAGAGTTGGAGACACGTCGTCGAAGAAGTCTCGGTCAGGTTGTATTGTTCCGAATCTTTCGGCTTCTTTCAATTTGATTGTAGTATTTATTGTTTTATTATAGAAATGCCTCCAAGAAAGTATCCTTCTGGATATGATAAACGCAAGAAAAAAAGAAAAATTGAACAATTTGTCCAAACTCAAAGTGGAGTGTTTGATAAATTCATTGTTAGAGAAACACAAGATTTAGTTGAAAATTCAATTGAAAATGATAACATTAATGATTTGGGCTTGAATGAATATGATAATGAAAATGTTGATGATCAAAGTAAAAATGAAAATGATAATGAAAATGAGAATCAGAATGAAACTGAAAATAATAATGAAAATGAGAATCATAATAAAAATGAAAAATGAAAGTAAAAATGAGAATCAGAATCAGAAAGAAAATGATATTGACAATGAAAATGAAAATAAAAATGAGAATCAGAATGAAAATGATAATGATAATGAAAATGAGAATCAGAATGAAAATGAAAATAAAAGTAAAAATGAGAATCAGAATCAGAATGAAAATGATATTGACAACGAAAATGAAAATGAAAATGAAAATGAAAATATTTTAGGCAATGAACAACCTAATCAGTCCATGCTCATGAATTTGAATATTTATGATCCAAGAATTTGGGATAATTTAGACACAAAATCTAGAGATATATTACTTGAAAATGGCCCTATAAGAGATCTATTAGTCGAAAAAGGTCCTAAAGATAAATTAGGAAGATGTTTTTCTTTGGCATTTTACACTAGGCATTTATCAAATGGAGAGAAATGCGATAGGGAATGGTTAGTTTATTCAAAGGATATCGATAAAGTATTCTGTTTTTGTTGTAAATTGTTTAAAAATGGTTTTAAGAAAAGTTTTTTTAATAAATGAAGGATTTAATGATTGGCAACATCTTAGTGCTAGGCTTAAATAACATGAAACAACTAATGAACACATCATTAACATGAGTACTTGGCTTGATTTACGCATAAGATTAAAGAAAAATAAAACAATCGATAAAAATATTCAAGAGCAAATTAATAAAGAGAAGGAACATTGGAAGAAAGTATTACAAAGAATAATTTATGTTGTTAAATATCTTGCTAAACATAACTTGGCATTTCGAGGAACAAATGAGAGAATTTATCAAAATAATAATGGAAATTTTTAGGCCTAATTGAAATGATTACAGAATGGGATCCGGTAATGCAAGAACATGTTTGACGTATTAACCATGATGAAATTCATTATCATTATCTTGGTCATAGCATTCAAAATGAATTGATAAGTATGTTAGCTTCTAAAATCAAATGTGCAATAGTTCAAAAAATTAAAGAAGCTAAATATTTTTCAGTAATACTTGATTGTACTCCGGATGCAAGTCACCAAGAACAAATGACTTTAATATTACGATGTGTCGATATTTCTACAAGTCACCAAGAACAAATGACTTTAATATTACGATGTGTCGATATTTCTACAAGCCCGATAAAAATAGAAGAGTTTTTTGTAGAATTTTTAAAAGTAAATGATACATCTGGACAAGGACTTTTTGAAGAATTGCAAAATATGCTAAAAGCTCTTAATCTTGATATTGATAATGTACGAGGTCAAGGGTATGATAATGGGTCTAATATGAAAGGGAGACACCAAGGTGTATAAAGAAAATTACTTGATATAAATCCTAGAGCATTATACACGCCTTGTGGTTGCCATAGTCTTAATTTAACACTTTGTGATATGGCAAATTGTTGTAGTAAAGCAAAAGACTTTTTTGGAGTGATACAACGTATTTATACATTATTTTCTCACTCAACAAAGCGATGGCAAATTTTGATAAATAATGTAAAAGGTTTAACTGTGAAGCCATTGTCAGCTACACGTTAGGAAAGCCATATTGAAAGCGTTAAAGCAATTAGATTCCAAACGCTTGAAATAAGAGAAGCACTACTTCAGTTAGCAGAAACTAATAATGACTCTAAAATAAGAAGTGAAGCAGATTCTTTAGCAACACATGGAATTGGAAATTTTGAATTTTTATTAAGTATGATTATTTGGTATGATATATTGTTTGCTGTTAACTTAATTAGCAAATTTTTACAATCTAAAGACATGCTTATAGATATTGCTATAGATCAAGTAAAAGGATTGATTAGGTTTTTTAGGATTATAGAGAAGTTGGGCTCACACAAGCTATGACAATTGCTAAAGAAATTGCAACTGAAATGGAAATTGATTCTGTATTTCAAGTAAAACGTCAAATCCGTAGAAAAAGACAATTTGATGAGAATGTTAATGAGGAGACAACACAATCAGCTGAAGAATCTTTTAGAATCAATTATTTTTTGTATATTGTAGATCAAGCTATTGGTTCACTAAAGAAAAGGTTTGAGCAATATAAAACATATGAAGATATTTTTGGATTTTTGTTTGGTTCAGAAAAGTTAAATTCATTAGATGATAATAATTTGAAAGCATGTTGTGATAATCTTGAAATTGTTCTAAAATATAAAACATTTTCTGATCTTGATGGGAAAGATTTATTTGGAGAACTAAAAATCTTATGAAATATTTTACCAAAAGAAACAAAGATGGCTATTGATATACTGAATTTCTTAAAAATACGAAATTGTTTTCCAAATGCATGTATTGCTTATAGAATATTATTGACTATACCTGTTACAGTCGCATCTGCAGAAAGAAGTTTTTCAAAATTAAAATTATTAAAATCTTATCTGAGATCGACCATGTCACAAGAAAGACTAAATGGGCTAGCTTTGATATCCATTGAAAATGATTTTATAGATAAAATTGATGTTAAAGGCTTAATTAATGATTTTGCAGCTAAAAATGCAATGAGGATAATTTTTCGATGATACTTTTTGATGCTAAAGGCTTCGATGTCTCTTATGAAGGTAAGCACAGATACAAAAGGAACATAATATGTAAGTATTTCTTATTGTGGACTATTTGTTCTATTGGAAAGCTTTATTAAGATGAGGTTACATGCATTTATCTAATCAGTAACATTTTATTCAGGTGACCGAAGAGATGAAGAATGGGCAATAGCACTTGAAAAGTATGTTAAAGACTATCCAGATGTAAAAAAATCAGGTAATATTTTAATGTCCGATCAGTAATATTTTTTCCCTAGCATTTTAGGGATTCAAATTGAAAATTATTGATATTTTGTATATAGAGAAGGGCCTGTGTTTACTTTTCGCACAGGGCCCCTAAAATCTCAGAACCGGCCCTGTATATCTTATATACTCTTTGTCTAGATTGTTTGTCATCATCAAAAAGGGGGAGATTATTAGGTCTCATGTTATAAGCCTACATCTTCTTATCTTGTTTTGATGATTATAAACAATTCCTAATATTGTTTGTCTAGTGTTTATGTTTTCTTATTAGGTATTCTAGACAAATAATATATTGGAGGATGGATGGAATCGAGCATTCACGATCATATCTAATGGAGATTGGCAGAATTGTGGAGTGAAGCAATACAATTCAAGTTCAAGATCTAAGTTCAAGCTTCATCCGTGTTAGTTTGGGTGTAGACCAAACTCACCTCCGCAGGCGAGCTTTGGGGGAAGGTGCAGGCGAGTCTCGAGTGCGAGCGAACTTTGGTCAGGCGAGATCGTTCAAGGCGAACTCGAGGCAGGCGGATTTTGCACAGACGAAGTCCACGTAAGTAGCAGGCAAAGTCGAGGTGCTCATGATAGGCGAGCTCGTGGCGGATCCAGGCTGTTGACAGCCTGTCGATAGTTCAGCTAGGGTTTCCCTATAAAAGGGAAACCCCAGGGCTTAGATGTGTGCCTTCACTCGGGCGATTTCTCAGCGGCGGCGATCTCCTTTTCTTCCCGCTCTTCTCTTCTCTGTTTTCTCTAGCTCTCACGATAATTTGGGGGGAGGGGGTGGAATTAATTGAGGAGGAAATTTAAGAGGGGGTCTTGATTATTCTCCATCTCTCTTAGCTTAAAGAGGGGAAATAATTAAGGAGGAGTTTAAGAATCGTACTATAGCTACAGTAACGATTGTATTTATTGAGGAATCTCAAGTTTGAGATTCGCTCTTGAATTGTAATTTCTTATTAGATTAATAAGATTGTATTTATTGAGGAATCTCAAGTTTGAGATTCGCTCTTGAATTGTAATTTCTTATTAGATTAATAAGAAATTTACTGTGTGGCTCCCTTGAGATTCGCTCTTGAATTGTAATTTCTTATTAGATTAATAAGAAATTTACTGTGTGGCTCCCGAGGACGTAGGCAGTTGCCGAACCTTGTTAAAACTTGGTGTACTTTTTTCTCTATTCCGTGTTTCTACTGTTTAGGGGTTTTGGCGTAAATTTCCAACAATTGATATCAGAGCGTGAAACGATCTAGAGGAAAGTGGGAACCATGACCGCAGATGAAGGAAAAATGAGACTTGAGAAGTTTGATGGAACAGATTTTGGATTCTGGAAAATGGAGATAGAGGATTATCTGTATCAGAAAAATCTGTATCAACCACTATCGGGGTAGAAGCCGTATTCTATGAAGGTAGATGAGTGGAACCTTCTAGACAGATAAGCCCTCAGAGTTATCAGATTGACGTTGACTCACAATGTTACGTTCAACATAGCGAAGGAGAAGACCACGACGGGTCTTATGGCAGCTCTCTCAAATATGTATGAGAAGCCATCAGTCGCAAATAAAGTTCATTTGATACGGCAGTTATTCAATCTGAGAATGCCGGAAGACACGTCAGTAGCACAACACCTCAATGAACTCAACACGGTCACAACCCAATTGAGTTCAGTTGAAATTAAGTTTGATAAGGAAGTTCGGGTGTTGATACTTTTGTCTTTCCTATCAGAGAGTTGGAACGCTACAGTCATAGCTGTGAGTAGCTCATCGGGAAGCACCAAATTAAAGTTCGGCGACATTCGTGATCTGGTTCTCAGTGAGGAGATCCGACAGAGAGAGTCGGGTGAAGCTACAACCTCTTCAGTATTGCATACAGAGTCAAGAGGTAGAAATTCAACCAGAGGGAATGGACGAGGCAAATCAAACTACAGAGGTAAATCAAAGGACAGGAGGTCCAAGTCAAGGAATCCAAGCAACAGCTCGATGGCTATCGAGCGTTGGAATTATGGAAAGACCGGGCATTACAAGAATCAGTGCAAGAGTGCACAGAAGGAGAAGGAGGCGAAAGCAGAGGTGAATGTCACTTCCAGTTCAGGAGGAGATGACGTATTGATATGCTCTTTGGAGAGCAAGGAGGAATCTTGGGTGTTAGATTCAGGAGCGTCGTTCCATACTACTTCTCAGAAAGAATTCTTTGAGAAGTATGTTCCCGAAAATCTTAGATATATATACCTTGGTGATGATCAACCATGTGCTATTGTGGGCAAAGGTGTGGTAAAAATTAAGTTGAACGGGTCAGTATGGGAGTTGAAGGATGTCAGGCATATTCTCGATCTGAGAAAGAACTTAATATTTGTAGGCCAGTTGGCTAGCAAAGGATACACCACAACCTTCCATGGAGATGATTTGAAGATCTCAAAGGGCGCAATGATGATTACCCGAGGTAAGAAGACTGGTACCCTGTATATGACAGCAGGTGCACGTTGTTTGATCTCAGTTGCAGCAGGTAATGAACTTCAAAGCTGTGGCACTAGAGACTCGTTCATATGAGTGAGAAGGGGATGAAAATCATGCACACAAAGGGAAAACTCCCAGGTCTAGAATCAGTTGATTTAGATATGTGTGAAGAATACATACTTAGAAAGTAGAAGAGAGTTAGCTTTCAGACAAGTGGCAGAACCCCGAGGAAAGAGAAGCTAGAGCTCGTTCACTCAGATGTGTGGGGACCAACAACCACTGCGTCCATTGGTGAAAAACACTACTTCTTGACTTTTATCGATGATCACTCTCGGAAAGTGTGGGTCTACTTTCTGAAGCATAAGTCAGAAGTGTTTGAAGCTTTCAGGAGATGGAAAGCTATAGTCGAGAATGAGACCGGTCTGAGAATAAAGAAGCTCAGGACAGATAATAGCGGTGAGTATGAAGACACCAGATTCAAAAAGTTCTGCTATGAGCACGAGATCAGAAGGGAGAGAACCGTGCCCGGCACACCTTAGCAAAATGGTGTAGCTGAGCGGATGAACCGAACGCTGACAGAGAGAGCCAGAAGCATTCAGGTACAGTCAAGCCTATCGAAGCAGTTCTGGGTAGAAGCGGTCAACACAGCAGCTTACTTGATCAACCGAAGTCCATCGGTTCGGTTCCATTGGAGCATAGAATACCATAGGAGGTATGGTGCGGAAAGGAGGTAAAACTCTCACATCTCAAAGTTTTTGGTTGTGTAGGTTACGTGCATATTAGTGATCAAGGTAGGAATAAGCTTGATCCTAAGTCAAAGAAATTCACTTTCATCGGCTATGGTGAAGATGAGTTCGGCTACCGCATTTGGGACAACGAAAACAAGAAAGTGATCTGTAGCAGAGATGTGATATTCAACGAGAAGGTGATGTACAAGGACATGCACAAGACAGACGACTGAGAGAGCGAGTCAATATTTATAGATGCAGATGATGTCCCGAGTAACCTCTTGAAAAAACCCAATGCAAAGGGTCCTCAGCCAGAAGAGCTTGTTGGACAAGATGGTGCGCAGGAGCCTGACGCACCAACTCCGATATTAAGAAGATCTTCTCGTCCTCCTGTACCTAACAGTAGATATATGAACTATCTGTTACTGACAGATGATGGGGAGCCTGAAAGCTTTGATGAAGCTTGTCAGAGTGGAGATGCGAGCAAGTGGGGGCTTGCCATGAAAGATGAGATGAAGTCTCTCATCTCAAACCAGACGTGGGAACTAGCTGAATTGCCCATGGGTAAGAAGGCACTCTACAACAAATAGGTGTACCGGGTGAAAGAGGAGCAGGACGGCTCCAGAAGATATAAAGTCCGGCTAGTTGTCAAAGAATTCTAGCAGAAGGAAGGAATTGACTACACCGATATTTTAGCTCCCGTGGTGAAGCTAAATACTATCAGGACAGTGATGAGTATTATAGCAATTGAAGATCTTCATCTCGAGCAGTTGGACGTGAAGACGGTGTTTCTTCATGGAGATCTAGACAAAGAGATATACATACACCAGCCAGAAGGTTTCTCAGAAGAAAAGAAGAAGAACCTGGTGTGCAGACTCAAGAAGAGCTTGTATGGCCTGAAACAAGCCCCAAGGCAATGGTATAAGAAGTTTGACGGCTTCATGCACAAAGAAGGTTTCCAAAAGTACAACGCTGACCACTGTTGCTACTTCAAAAGATATCAGTCCAGTTATATCATCCTACTGCTATATGTTAATGATATATTAGTTGCAGATGCAGATATGGAGAATATCAAGAGTTTGAAGCAGCAGCTATCAAAGGAGTTTGACATGAAGGACTTGAGTCCAACAAAGAAGATCCTTAGAATGCAAATCACGAGAGATAAGAAGAGAGGTCTCTTGCAGTTATCTCGGACCGAGTACATCAACCGTGTTTTGTAAAGATTTAGCATGGGCGACGCCAAGCCAGTGAGCACACCCTTGGCCAGCCATTTTTGTCTATCGAATGATCAGTCTCCTCAGTCAGAAGAACCTCAGTCAGAAGAAGAGAAAGAGAGTATGGCTAAGGTCCCTTGCGTCTTAGCTATCGGAAGTTTGATGTACGTAATGGTCTGTATGAGACCAGACATCGGCCATGTAGTGGGAGTGGTCAGCCGGTTTATATCGAATCCAGGAAAAGCTCATTGGGAAGCAGTCAAGTGGATTCTGAGATATCTACGAGGCACCACACAGATCGAATCCAGGAAAAGCTCATTGGGAAGCAGTCAAGTGGATTCTGAGATATCTACGAGGCACCACACAGAAGTGTTTGCACTTTGGTAAGGGAGAGGTGTGGATTCTGAGATATCTACGAGGCACCACACAGAAGTGTTTGCACTTTGGTAAGGGAGAGGTGGAAGTCCAAGGGTACGTAGATGCAGCCTTCGGCGGCGAAGTCGATCACCGAAGAAGCACCACCGACTACGTATTCACTGTCAGAACTATAGCTATTAGTTGGATGTCATAGATACAGAAGATTGTCACTTTGTACACTATAGAAGCTGAGTATATTGTAGTGACTGAAGCCAATAAAGAGATGATATGGCTTTAGGGTTTGTTAACAGAGCTGGGATTCAAACAGGAGAAGAATGTTTTGTACAGTGATAGCCAGAGTGCGATACAC